ATATTCAACGGATGAAAAAATCAAAATCACATACGACCAGTACCCGGCCCGTTTCTCGACTATGATGGCTCAAATGCCACATGTTAGCCGGCCCGTGTGGCTCGGCTGAGCGCTCTAGGATCACCATGGTGAGATATTGACGGTACGGTAAAAGGATTGATAGAATTTGAGCACCTGATTTGGATTCCATCGTCCTGGATGCGAAAATGACGACGAACCGGTGCCGTGGGTCTTCTCCCCTGTCATCCCCGAAGTCCCGGCGCTATGAGACCGCCTCAGCTGGCTCACGGAAACCTTAGGTGAGTTTTGAGAGCGTTTGAGAGAGATTGGAGAGTTGGGCGGAGAGGAGGGACCTCCAGCGCTATTTATAGAGTTTCTCGCTATGCCCTCTCATAACGGGCCGGGCCGAACTTGGCCCACACAACCCGGGCCCATATCCGATCAATTAAGAAACCTTATATCCAACCTTATTAGACCAAACTCTCAAGCGGGTAATAACAATCTCAATTAATGTAACCCACATTAGGAAAACGTTACAAGAGATGCTGGAGGCTCGATCTACGAAATAGAGAGATGCCTACCCGGAGGCGGAGTGGAGCACGATGACGTCGCTCTTGGTCTTTGCAGGTTTCATCTTGCTGCGACAGAGAGGAGAGCTAATCAGAGGAGAGGAGGCGCTTGGCTGGGAATTGAAGACTTCAAAACCCTAACGTGTCTATATATATATATTTTCTTATAAGTTTATTACATTCTAAATTTATATTATATTATATTATATTTTTTTGGTAATTAATATTCATTCTACCATTAAAAAAAATTGGAAACACCGGGTTTATTGAATTTTAACTAATGATTCATTTAATCTGTTTTATCATTTCATTTATTTTCCAAAAAAAAATTTCATTTTGATTAGGAATTTTAGAAGAAAAACTAGATGCAGAAAACACCAATTTACTCAATAATCATTATTAGCAAGTCTAAGAAACTTTAAAGTAACCCTAATGTTTCTTTTTATCTTTTTTGTCATTATTATTTATCTATGTGACATCCTAACAATACGAAACAGATATTTCTCAAACTCAATCAAGTGCGGCACTTTGGCGGTCACTCCCAAATTGAATCATTAAAACTCTCTCATACTAAGGTATAAACTTTATGTCTCACATATACTATATAGATGTAATTCTAGACTGGAAGACATGGGCAATGTTTCTAAAATTACATACTATGCTAATTACATTGCTATATACATTGATATATGTTGAACCTTATACATAATATTAATGAAACATGATCTACACGTTCTTATGTCGTCATATACATGTAAGCTTTAATCTGTATCTCTTAAACCATAAAGAAATACAGGAAAATATACCCTAAAAATACGCGTATATAGGGTTCCATATGTATTTTTACATCCTTAAAAGTATCAAACATATAAAATAAATATACCACAGTGTAGAGAATCTTTATACGAGCACGCCGGTACCTTGTACGCTCCAATCGGAGCCTGGACGCGCCTTCACGCGCCTCCTGAAGGCGCGACGCGTGGGCTTCACGCGCAGACGCTTAAGCCAGCCAAAATGGCCGGTCCGAATGGTTCGGTCAATGGGGTCGGGTCCGGGTCGGGTCAATCCCGAGGCCGGGTCCTTAGTCGGGTCGTACCCTGGGTTGGGTTTGCGAGTCGGGTCGAGTAACCGGATCGACCCGGCTCGCGACAAACCCTAGCGCGTGCATTGCACGCGCTGGGGACGCCCGCAAGTGTGACGCCGCGTCTCAGCGACGCCCCGGCGCATGCGGTGGTTTCCGGCGGCCTCCAGCGGCCCACGACCACTCATTTTTCTCGTCTCGTGACGATATATCCATCTATGTGATTTATTCTAACATTCAACGGATGAAAAAATTAAAATCACATACGACCAGTACCCGGCCCGTTTCTCGACTATGGCGGCTCAGATGCCACATGTTAGCCGGCCCATGTGGCTCGGCCGAGCGCTCTAGGATCACTATAGTGAGATATTGACGGTACGGTAAAAGGATGGATATAATTTGAGACCTAATTTGGATTCCATCGTCCTGGATGCGAAAATGACGACGAACCGGTGCCGTGGGTCTTCTCCCCTGTCATCCCCGAAGTCCTGGCGCTATGAGACCGCCTCAGTTGGCTCACATAAACTTTAGGTGAGTTTTGAGAGCATTTGAGAGAGATTGGAGAGTTAGGTGGAGAGGAGAGACCTCCAGCGCTATTTATAGAGTTTCCAGCCATGCCCTCTCATAACGGGCCTGGCCGAACTCGGCCCACACAACCCGTGCCCATATCCGATCAATTAAGAAATTTTATATCCAACCTTATCATAACCAAACCCTCAAGCGGGTAATAATAATCTCAATTAATGTAACCCACATTAGGAAAACATTACAAGAGATGCTGGAGGCTCGATCGACGAAATAGAGAGATGCCTATCCGGAGGCGGAGTGGAGCACGATAATGCAGCTCTTGGTCTTTGCAGGTTTCAGAGGAGAGCTAATCAGAGGAGAGGAGGCGCTCGGCTGGGAATTGAAGACTTCAAAACCCTAACGTGTCCATATATATATATATATATATATATATTTTTTTTTTCCAATCAGTTTATTACATTCTAAATTTATATTATATTATATTATATTTTTTGTTAATTAATATTCATTCTACCATTAAAAAAAATTGGGAACACCGGGTTTATTGAATTTTAACTAATGATTCTTTTAATCTGTTTTATCATTTCATTTATTTACAAAAAAAAAATTTCAGTTTGATTAGGAATTTTAGAAGAAAAACTAGATGCAGAAAACACCAATTTACTCGATCATCATTATTAGCAAGTCTAAGAAACTTTAAAGTAACCCTAATGTTTCTTTTTATCTTTTTTGTCATTATTATTTATCTATGTGACATTCTATATTTATATTTATATTTTATTTTTTTTGCTAATTAATATTCATTTTTCATGACTAAAGCGAGAGCTAATCTTGTTAACCCAACCAAAACCCGACTCGTCAAAACCATATTACCTCCGGTCATGCTTGAATCAATTCACGTTGTTGCTTGATTTAACGACTGATGTAGAAACCGTATTTCATGGCTCTCAAATTACCATGAAACAAGATCGACCGATCGAGTTGTTGCTCAGGTGGTTGATTCTGCCACGAAGGATCGAGTGAGTTGGCGTTGTGTTCACTACACTTGGCCGTTGATGCTTGGTGTAATTTTTTGTCAACGTATGCAATTATGAAATTTTACGCAAATTTTCATATCTCGCCTGGAAATTATTTCCATGTTCGCACTATATATGAGATAATGCTTTTGATTTCCCATTGAGATAAGAGATTCGATGAAATGATTCCATACTTAACAATTCAAATCTAAAAGCGAGATATATATTGAGTTGATCAAATATTCTATTATCTTTTTTGAGCCAACAAATATTATACTTTAGCAAGTTACTTGTTTGGATAATAAATTAGGGGCAAAAGTACACTAGAAGTGCCATAACTTGTGTACGGCGATCACTTTGGTGCCATAACTTTTTTTCGGATCACTTTGGTGCCAAGTCGGAGCAAAATAGATCACTTTAGTGACTCCGGTCAAAATTCCGGCCAAAAAGCTGACCTGGCATTTATATTAAAAAAAATGGTCTGACTTGTAGACGTGAAAATTATGTGGCTTTTTTTTCGAATTTTTTAATTTTTAGAAAAATAATAAAAATTAAAATAATTAAAAAAAATGTTGCAGGCGGCGAGGAGCCCTCGCCGCTGCCTGCTGCTCAACCCACCACCGCCGGGAAGGACCGGCGGTGGTGGGCGCAAGTGGTCGGCGAGGGCCGGATCCGGCGGCGAGACCTCGCCGTCGCGACCCGGGCGACGGCGAGGTCTCGGCCTCAACTAGCAAAGGCGAGGCGAGACCTCGCCGTCGCCGGGTCGCGACGGCGAGGTCTCGCCTCGCCGGATCCGGCCCTCGCCGACCACTGCGCCCACCACTGCCGGCCCTTCCCGGCAGTGGTGGGTTGGCGGCAGCAGCGGCGAGGGAGCCCTCGCCACTGTTGCAAGCTTTATTTATTTATTTAATTTAATTTTTTTAAAAAATTACATGTCAGCGAGCTAAACGGCGTCGTTTTTGGTTTTTAATGCTGACTGGACCTCTCCGGCGAGCCGTGTCAGCGCCACATCGGATTTCCGGCGAGCCATGTCAGCATTGGCACTAAAATGATCATTTTTCAAAAAAGTTGGCACCAAAGTGATCCGAAAAAAAGTTATGGCACCAATGTGATCGCCGTACACAAGTTATGGCACTTCTAGTGGACTTTTGCCATAAATTAGGTTAAGACTTTAACCGATCGCTATCATCTTAACTACTAATATACGATTTATATAAGTTTATCCATCATTCAAACTTCGTAACTATCAATAAGGAGGGCCATCCACAAGTTTTAGTGACATAAAAGAGACTTTTGGCCATCTTGGCGCAGGATCGGAAGTCACAACTAGTCTTTGGCTATTTTGATAGCAACCATGTTCGAGGATCAGGAGTGACGAGCAAGAGTTGCCCATACAACACATTTAAAGCATGAACCGATAAGGAATTTTCCTGTACTAGAACGTTGTCGTGGCTTAAAAAGGTCAATTCACAGTACATCCAATCTGTATAAATCAAGAGGCGATGCAAGCATATGGGCTCCAATTCTATATCGTACTTGATTTGCCGACAATAAAGTCTCATTTGATTTCTAGGAACCTCAGTCCGACCCTTTTCATCGTATGGATTATGTGTGCGCGTTTCCGGGCGACCACTTGTCTCTGAAATCCGACCCGCCTGGCATAATGGAAGATAGATACGAGAGCTAGCTGGCGAGGTACAACCGGACGTACAAAAGTAGAGCTGAGCAAATGCTGCGGTTCGAGATTTATCAAGCCAATGTCCTGTACGGCTACCGGCCGAGCTCACCGACGACGGATTAGCGGACATGACAAACGTGGAGTTCAAAGCGACCTGCCTGGGTTTTCAAAGGAGGATGAACCAGAGGACTGATAAGGAGGCCAATGTTACCGATGACACCGCCACAGACATGCCGGCGAGTTTTGATTGTAGGAAGGAAGGCGCTGTAACTCCGGTCAAGGATCAAGGCCAATGTGGTATATAAGATTAAGTCGCACGTTCTGCTTCGCGCGTGTAGGCAGTTGTTGGGCTTTTTCCGCGGTGGTGGCCGTCGAAGGCCTCGACAAGATCAAGACGGGGAAGCTAGTGTCTGTATCGGAGCAGGAGCTCATGGATTGCGATGTCGGGAAGCACGACCAAGGCTGCAGCGGCGGAGCCATGGACACCGTTTTTTCCTTGGTCCAACACAACCGAGGCATCGCTCCCGAGTCCAATTATCCTTACCGAGGACGGGAAGGATCTTGTGACGAGACCAGGCTTGGGAATCATGTGGCCACGATAAGCGGATACAGCAATGTGGCCACGGACGGCGAGGGAAGCCTGCAAGCCTGGTGGCCCGCCAACTGATCTTCTGCGCCATCGACGCGGGTGGACTGGAATTTCAACGATAACCTAGGGGGATTTTGATGGGCGGTTGCGGACACGACTTGAATCACGGGGTCACCGCGGTCGGGCACGGAGCGGAGGGCCAGAGAGAAAGTATTGCATCGTGAAGAATTCGCGGGGACGCGACTGGGCCGAGGACGGCTACGTGAGGATGCTGAAGGATTCTCGAGATCGGCGGGGCATGTGCGGGATCGCGATGGACGCGAGTTATCCCGTGAAGGGATGAATGTAAAAGGTGGGATCGGTGTTGGTGTTTTTAGCTTCTTCTGCATAGACTCGTATTCATGCAGTAAACTGAATTTTTCGTATCGAAGAGGAGAATACGTGGCTGTCCTATTCATCGAGGCATACTTAACCGAGGGCAAAAGGACACTATAAGTGCCATAACTTGTGTACGGCGCTCACTTTGGTGCCATAACTTTTTTTCGGATCACTTTGGTGCCAAGTCGGAGGAAAAACGATCACTTAAGTGTCATAACTTTTTTTTGGATCACTTTAGTGCTAAAATTTTTGAAAAACGATCACTTAAGTGCTAAAATTTTTGAAAAACGAACATTTAAGTGCTAAAATTTTTGAAAAACGATCACTTAAGTGCCAATCTCCGGCGAGACTCCGGCAAGCCACGTCAGCTTCAGAAATTAATATAAAAAATGCCACGTCAAATTTCCGGCGAAAAATTGTGTAAGGCACCGGAGTTGGCACTTAAGTGATCGTTTTTCAAAAATGTTAGCACTTAAGTGATCGTTTTTAAAAAATTTTAGCACTAAAGTGATCCAAAAAAAAGTTATGGCACTAAAGTGAGCGCCGTACACAAGTTATGGCACTTGTAGTGTTCTTTTGCCCTTAACCGAGCGATACCATTGTAATTAGCGGGCTATTTGAAGAGGGTTAGCACAAAGCAAAACCCCCCATCGCGACCGCCCAATTTAAATTCGAGTTCCTTTCGGCAGAATGGAAAGGCGTTGACCTGTCGGATCGATTTCAGTGCGGGTCTTTAAATAAAACATTTTATTTTCTACGGACGCTAAAGCACAAAACGGATCGAGCTGTAAGAATGTGACTTTACAACTGAGACTATCGTAAAACAAATGTCGTAGGCTATAGGTTTATTCATTACAAATTTGCGTGATGAGCTAATTGGAAAGAGAACGAATTCGATAATGTATTGGGACTGTGTTTTCGCGAACTGAAAATAAATGAATGAGCCATCATCATCCGAGGTAATTACTACTTACTTACACCCGAGTACTTCATACTGGCTCGAAGAATTTCTCATCAAAACGACGGCGCATCCCAAAGCCTTGCATAAACCCTTGGCTTTTGATTAAGATTAGATCGAGAGACAGAGGTGCGGTGTTTGTGGAAATCCAGCCATTTTTCTTGCAACTCCGCCGTAAGAAATGGCTGGTCCCTTGCTCCGATCACTCTACTCCGCTGCTAAGAAGACTATCATCTCCTCCCCCTCCTCCTCCTCTCAACGCCTCAACCCCTACTTCTCCCCACGCGCCACCCCCTTCTGCCGCCCTTCTCCACTGCCACCGCCGCGGCGTCAGGCCCTTCGGTCGACCCGAGCCGGCTCTGGGACGTGGCGGTGATCGCCCATGTCAACCACGGTAAGACCACGCTCATGGACCGGCTGCTCCGGCAGTGCGGCGCCGACATCCCCCACGAGCGCGCCATGGACTCCATCAGCCTCGAGTGCAAGCGCGGTATCACCATCGCGTTGAAGTATTCCCTGAGCTTCACTAATTAGGTGGTGTGAAGTGTTGATTGAATTATTATGCAGCCTAATCGCGTGGCGGAGTATTGGCGTGACCGTAGTTTAGTGTTTTGGTTTAATTGTGATTGTTGTGCACACTGATTAGTGGGGGTGGAGTTGATGCGTTGCAAGTTCTAAGCACCTGTTTCTTTTTTCTTTTACTTATTTTTAGATTCGTGAATTGTTGATAGATTAAACTTCTAACCTTTGCTAATCGGGTAATAAAGCTTTATGTCTTCCTGCCGAGGCCATGCTATTTATGTTTTAGATTACGTGTAAAATTAACGTTTTCAACTTGTGGGTATCCACAGGTAACGTCCATCGCATGGAAAGACAATGAGCTAAATATGGTTGACACACCCGGACATGCAGACTTTGGTGGTGAGGTATGATAATTGATAATGCTGCCAAATAAAAGTTGTTCTTTCTAATATATATAGTGATGCACCTAGGGGACCGGCGGACCCGTTATGTGACTAGACGAACCGACAGGCTCGAAGTCAACGATCTCGGATTGAGCTCAAATTTGATCGGTTGAAGCGAAATGGCGTGCTGATCAATACACACCGCCGTTGGCTGTGACTAACGATGGATTTTCGCGATTCGGGGTCGTTTAGATGGGTTTTTATATTATTTTAGTATTTTTATGGATTAATTTAGTAAAGGGCAGTTTCGTAATTTTGCGTTTTGATGTTTATTAATCCTAGTAGGGTTAGGTTTGAGGATATATAAGCTTGTTTTAGGTTTTCGTTTGAGGATACTTTGGATATTTTTAATTGTTAATCGATTGAGAGAACAGTTTGTTCCTCGTTATCGTTTCGATTCTTCTGTTTAGCCTAATTTCTTTCGCGCTTCGGCATCAGAGATGAGAGTGGGAGTGGGAGTGAGACTGCATGAATCAAACTTTACTGTTGCTAGTCGTGCTACAATTTCTCGAATTTGACATGGTGTCTTGTATAGAGTAAGTGCTGTGAAAAATGGAGTAGGAGCTATGGTTTGGTCGTGTTAGAACTCGAATATTGTGTGATATTAGTCATCATGAGAATTTTGTCATGTATCAAGTGAGTGCAATTTAAAGGTCAATGTGGTCCGATCGGTTTTGAAGTTGAAACCACAAAACTACTCGGTAGGACCGTTTTCAAGTTTATCGGAACCGAGAACCTACCCGATCAGTCCTAAATCGGCTTTGAACCGACTGGTTTCAATGTTGAAAGATTGTTCATGGAATGGCCATGTGATCGACAATGGAAGGACTCCCCGATCACGTAAGATGATTAGAGCGATACGACTGTGGATTAACCTTTCAACCATAAGGGCCATTAGTGGGAAGGTCTGGGATGACCATGCATCAATGTTGTGTCGACATGTGTCGGTTGCGGGTGATTCCGCTCGGCCATATATCGGTCACGGATGACCATGGGTTGATTCTGAGGTACTGGATTCCACGCGGCTACATGACAACTGAGAGTCGATCATGTGTTGTTGATACTCTAACATGGACCGGTCGCGAATCGGCCATGGATCATTGTGTTAAGTCGGGTAGGCCATGGACGAGCCATGTGCCAGGCCACGAGCCTTGTGGCTTGGTCGTGGACTAGGCTTTGTACCAGCGACGCCGACTAGGCCTTGTGCCAAGTCATGGACCGGCTATTGTGCCCATCAGCTAGGTCACGGACCGGCCTTGTGCTTATCCGTGTGCTAGTCATTGTGGTTGATCCTTGTGCTAAGCATTGTGCCCGTCAGATCAGGTTCCGACCTAGTTCCGTGCCCAATAGACTTGGCCATAAGCCATGCATTGTGCCCATCCATGAGCCAATGCATATGTTCGGTCCATGAACCGGTCCCTCGCTCGTATGGCCCAGCATTTGTCACGCCCCGAACCCCATCGAGCTCGCGACATACCTCTACGATCGAATATCGCGACGTCCCAGGATGTCGCCGACCCCACACATCCAGAGATAAAGCACTGGCGGAAGCAACTAACTCCCAGACAATATTTAACTAGGGGTAAAAAGGAGAATATACATCCATTACCAATTCAAACTTGTACAATACACCACTTACAATCCAAATAATATACACGCACACCGAGCTTCTAAAGTTTACACCACCGATATCAAAAAGAGGTCAGTAGTCTGGGTATACTCTAACTCCAAAAATGGGACACTTCAAAAGGTTTACCCTATCCCTAAACTAACCCCTATGCCCTCTAGACGGCGTCCACTCCGAGTCAGTCTCCCCGGAACCCGTATCTGATTCCCCCTGAGCAACCTGCTCCTCGGAAAACTCCGAATCCGCCTCGATCTCAATCGGGTTATCTTTATCCCCCGACTTTATCGGAACCTCAATTCGCTCCTCCTCTTCAGACTCTTCCTCTGGTTCCTCCTCTGGTTCTTCCTCTGGTTCCTCCTCTGGTTCTTCCTCTAGCTCTTCCTCCTCGGGATCCTCTTCTACGGGCTCTTCCTCCTCTGGTTTCTCTTCCGGTTCTTCCTCTTCTACGAGCTCCTCCTCGGGTACTTCTCCTATATCCACGTCCATCGGATCATACCCGGCCTGTGACTCTTCCGGTTCCGGATCAGGCTCAGCCACTGAAGGTTCGGGTGCGGCGGGTACAAGCTGATGTCCCGACTATGCTAGGCTAGTGTCCAAACTAGTCATCTCGCCATCAGGAGGGGGTATGGCCGACGGATCCCAATCTCTCACTCCGTCAAAAGGGACATCAAAACCTCAAACAGGACCAAACTCGTCCAACCCATCCTAGAAACACCAGGCGGTATAAGTGTGGGCCTGCCAAAGGGGTTGTCCTATATCTATCCAGACTACTGTAGTATGCTTGATCCAAGCCATATCATCACCTACAGGATACTCTACAACTGCATGGTCGATGTGCATCGGTATACCAAAACGCTGAGGTGGTGGCGGTGGGAGATTCATGGTCCAGGCCGGGGTTCTGAAATGGTTTGGTTAAACAACCATGAGAACACGTCTCAGCAAGTAAACACCCTAAACCCCACCTAGGCTAACACGTACTTCCAGACAAGTCCAAACACCATATCACTCAATAAACACACAACAAGCACACAAATTGTACTTACCTGGGCTTTTAATGCGTACAATCTGCACGTTAGTCTCAATTACACAAATTCCAACCACATGCACATTCCAAATTAATTTCATGCCCAAAACACAAGTCGAACATATG